GCCGAAGACTCTCCGCCGGCAGAAGACTCTCCCCCCACCGACGATTCTCCTTCGCCACCTTCTGCCCCCGGAGGAAGCACCGGTTTGCCGAAAATTGGGGATGATGCAACGCGGTTGAATCCATTGACCTCTGTGTTCGTCGCCGTTGTTGCAATTTTGGCTGTTGTTTGACTTTGATTATTATTCTCTGGGTTTCGTTCTGATTTGTTTGGTGTATTTTTATTTTTTCTGGAAGCAATAATTTAAAAAGGAAACAGTTTTTACTGCTTCCACTTGTTTGTATTTTGTAAATCAGCGTTATTCAAAATTTATTACAAATTTGCAGATAGGTAAAATTCTGAACTATCTACTGAAGTCCTGAATTGCAAGTATTTCAATTAATCACTCAATTTGAATTGATCTTAAATTGGATCTCAAGTGAAATGATAAAATAATTGTGAATTTTGAATAGAAGAATTCAATCTTGAGAATGTGACATAATATAGCTAGTTAAGACAGAGACATTAGACATTAACAGACACTGATGAAATTATGGGGAAAAAACACAAAAATCTACCCAAAATTGTTAAATTAAACAAATTACATTGTTGTTGCGTATAATATTCAATCCTCTGTGCCTTTCATTTTTCTTTGCTTCTTTTTACCCGACTTGTTGTCCATGGTTGGCAATGATTGTCTTACTTCTCCCGTTGCTCGTGGACGCTTTTTTCCATCTTCCTTCGGCGTTTTACGACCACCAGATTGCAACTGAAGCTGCTGTGATTTCATTTTAATTGATTTAACTAATGAAGAAAGCTCGTACTTCTTCTTTGAGGAATCTCCCTCAGTCTTAACAGGGACGTTGCCATTCACCGTGTCGTCCCCGGACGCTGCAGGCTGTTTCGTGGAAGACTCCCCAAGTTGGCTTTTCGTTAACTGATATCCATCGCCCTTTTGCTGCTTCAATGCCACTTGACGAACATAAGCAGCGCTCCTGCAAACAAGAGACTTAATATCTCAGAATCATAAAAACTAAAATGAAAACTAATGGCAAGTTCTGCAATGCCTTCAATGGTTAAGGCACATTCGCCTAATCTGCTGCTCATACCGTTGCAAGAATTATATATTTGGAATTTGGTAATAAACGGTTGTTTAGAATCTAAAGTATTTCAATAATTCTCAGAAGTATTTATGATACCTTTTGAATTGAGGGTCTGTGGGATCCAAAGCATAGAGAGGCGAATTGAAGAGTGCTGAAAACCGTGGATCACTGTAATCGACCGTCGGTATTTTATCTTCGGCAATATCTTCCTTCCCCTTTTTCTTCTTATGTTTCAAATTGTATCCTTTGATACCAGTATCAATGCCATCGTCATCAGCAAGAAGCAACTCGAGCTCTGCTCGGCTTGCTTCTGCTTCCCCATCTAGACCAACATGTTCCCTGTCTTTAATGTTTTTCGTTTGATCCTTCTTGCTTTGTTTGACTGGAGGCTCTTCAACGAAAAAGTCACCTGCTTCTTCACCAACCTCTCTATCAGTGTCGCTGCTGTCATCATCTGATGACCGTGTGGATTTATTTTTTGCGTTCACCCGTTTTTCACGTCTTTTTCGAAGATGAGCCTCCCACAATGTCTCTGATTTCTTATCCCTCTTTTCCAGGATTCGCTTGCTTATATCTTCTAAGCCGGTGTTGAAAGTCACCTCCATATCCTGACCACCATCCTGCTCACCATCTTCATCAGATTGAAGTAAGGCACGGTACTTATCTCCTTTCTTACACTTTTTGTCTGTTTGGTCCTCCACTCCATCATCACCACTTTCATCCTCACTTTCACTTCCATCAGATGCCAAAAATTCCTTGAGTTCCAAATCAGCCAGCTATAAGCAAAAATATTGTCAGTAGAGGAGGCTAAACCTTGAGGAGAATACATAGGAAAAGAAATGCAATGATTATCACTAGACAGCCTTAGATAATACAACCAGCAAAAGGATTATGTCGTTATCTCCACACTTCTTGATATCAAAATCCATATTTCCACATCTCTCAGAAAAATTGGTGAATGATGGCTTATTATGCGTACCAAATCAAACATTCAATCGGAAATTCGAAATCAAAACCAATGTAAAAGAGAGGCCAACAGGTTTGTGGTTCATAAAAATTAAGTCTTTCCTATTCATTTATTAAAGTTCGCCTAATTTAAACCCTGAACTTCCATAACTCGCTTATCGCATGCATAACATAGACAAGTTTGATAAGAATTAAGTCTTTCCTATTCATTTACTTGAATATATCAACAACATGCAACAAAAACTAACAATACAGAAAATGATAATACATAGAGGCCACAAACCTAACTAATGAAGCCCAAGATACCGTGAACTGTTGGCAAGCCAAAAAGTACAAAAAGCTCATATGATGCACGTAGAATATTATTTGAGAAACTGGTATCGAATCATAGCATCATTGAGTACAAACCTGACCCGCATTGAATTTTCGTTTCAAGGCTGTTACTCTTTGGGGTTCATCCTCATCCCAAGAAAGATGAATTTTACTATGCTGCAGGGCTGGAGTATGGAAATTTAAAACTTCATAACTTGAAGGTGCCTGATATACAAACGGAATCCTATTAGTCTCTTCCAACTACCTTTCCACACTGCATAATGAAGACTATATATAGCATGCAATTACAAATGGAAAGAAAGGGTTTAAGAAAGAGCAAGTAACAAAAATCATAGAGTTAATACGAGAACTGGTTAGTGAGAATGAACATCTTTTAAGCAATAAGTGCGAGAGACCAGTTATGTTTTTTTTTTTTTCTTTAGATAAGGTGTCAAACTTTCCTCGGAAAAAAAAGAAAAAATACAAAAAAAAAAAAGCAACCCCAAATAAAATGGAGGTAAACTAAAGCAAGAATGGGTTTCAATCAAGCAAAATGAAACCTAAAGAATAATTACATAAAGACTTCACAATCAATGCCTAAAGAGAGACATGAAACCGAACAAGAGCCTATACATCCTCCCAATATCTCTCGAGCCCTCATGCCATGGACACTAATCTTCTCTATACTTCCTCAAACAGTGTGCCTTCTGTTACTTTGAAGCTCTCTTAACACTAGCTCCTGTCTCAACCATGGCCAATGGAGTCCAGCGTCAGAAGCCCAAGCCAAATTAAGAATGAATACATGGCTCCAACAACAATCATTTTGAATTTCATACTCACTGACAACTATTTTCATCTAAAACCTTGTTATCTTGAATTCATATTTCAATTTTTATTATTTTGCAAAGGCAAAAAAGATTCAATTATGAAATGTTTTTTTCCTTAAATCCATGGATAGAACTTAAAAGATTTTGCTATCCTTATCAAATCAAACTTACCTATAACTATAAGTTATTGAGTGATTAACTAAATTTTCGAATTATGTTTAGCACGTGTTAGAGAATCATTCTGGAGTATATGACATCTTTAACATTCACTACAGCAAAATTACTTCCAGTCAATGTCAAAGAGGATAGATACATCAAAGGATTAATAAACAAACCTCTGTGGCAGTGTCCCTAGGAGGGTGTTTAAATTCCATCGAGTCAGGAATAAACCTCAAATCAAGCACATTTGAGGACCTTTCAAATTCCACTCCATCACATGTTTTGTAAAGGTAATCAGCTGTCGCAATAGAATCACATTCCACCACAGCATAATAGTACCTGTACACAAATAGCATAAATTGCAATGATTAGAAAAAATACAGAGAGAGATAGAGAGAGCCATATTAGAGGATATAACAGATATTCCATACAATATGCATTTGATTCTACTAAGACCAGACTAAATTTGATGGTGAAATCAATAAATTCAAATGAACTGGTAATTTATCAAAATGAATATGAAAAGCAGCATCAGAAAAAGAGACCTTAGCCTACTCATTTCATAAGCTCGCAATTTCTCATTATCAATCTCTTCGTCATCGTCATCGTCATCGTCATCGTCATTGTCATTTTTCTCTTGTTCATCATCAAACAATCCAACTGGACCATGCAACTCTTCCTCTTTCATACGTTGAAGCCCAAACTCAGATGGGTAGACTGCCACAGACAATATTTGTCCACCTTTTGGAAGAAATGAGCTTAGTACGACGAACAAATCAACAGCCTACATAACACGACATGATTTAACCAAGTCAAGTACAGATAATGAGGCAGATAAAATATCATTATCATAAGATTGCCAAAAATGTGTGCTAATCTGCAAATAAGTGAGAGAGAGAGAGAATATTCATGCTTAAAAAAGTAATATGAACTCCTAATACATATCCAAGCATTGTAAATTGGGTCAAGGCTTATACAAGAAAACAGCTGTTACTTTTATCTACATAGACATGTGAGTGTGGAAAAATTCCGAACATGAAATGACATTTCAGTGAAGGAAACAAGGCAAACACGAATCACAAAAGAACAGTTGGAAGATAATTGAAATGTCGTTGACTACAACATCAACATACAAATGACTAACAATAGCAAAAGAGCAGCAGAATGGACTATCTGTTTCTGCCAATCAATACAGACCTCACTGTTCATTATGATCAATCTACAAAATGAATTAAATCCATATAATCTATCCCCTTGACTACAATAACATTTTCATTCAGGGATAGCACCTTAAAGAACAGCCAAATCAAAATATTGTGCATATTCACTTCTTAAATGCAGTCAACATCCATTATAACCTATCTTGTGCTCAGCTTTCCCATCCATTGGGTGATTTTTTTTAGTACAGCATTAAGGCTTGAACCTAAATTGTTTTAAGTACATAAAAAAATAAAAGGGCATAAAGAGAAGATATTCAAGATAGGTTGTAATTAAGAACAAAATTCTGAGTCACAATTTACACTTGGTTAATACGAATTATTGACGAAATAAACATTGCCCAAGAAATCCATTGGCTCAACATACCTTCACGTGCCTCCAGTCCAAGTTAACAACTGCAAGCCTGTGAGTTTCCTTGTCGATTTCTGGAATATTCTCCACCTGACAATACAGGAATCCAGGATGATTTCAACAATTGCTACCAATTTTACACAATTAAAACCGAACGACAGACAATGAGTGGAAAAAATACAATAATTGTGTATTGACAAAACATTTGTGTGCATTGGTTAGCTGTGAAAAATCCAAATAAAATCCAAGTAACGAGTTCATCATCTGGTTATAAACCTAGACCCTACCCCAATCCCAAAAAATAAAATTAAAGTGAGTGGCAACAACAAAAATGATTAACAAAAACATTTGTGTGCTTTCGCTGAGTGAAAAATCCGAGTTCATATGTAATCTGCTGATAAACTTAGATTCTACCCCAACCCAAAAAAAAAAAAATTAAAACAACATATTGAAGCTGCAAAATGATTTTCTATTTTCTCTTCAAGATCAGTTCTTCGCTTAAAAGATGAGTTCGATGAACCTTTGGACAAAATACAAATTACAAGTATAAACAAATATCTAAAACTTTTAAAATATTCAAAACGCACCGGCAATTCAGATGTTTCATCGTCGTAAATCTCATCCAGTTCACTTTGGTCCGTATCAGTTGTGTAGTAGTCGGATTCTATCTCTCCATCATCCTCGGACTCTGACTCCTCCAACTCTAATATCTGATTCTTTTCCTCAACCTCAACATCACTCTCTACACTTTCACTGTCAACCTTCTCCTCCTTTTCTACATCTTCAACCTTTTCCTCCGTTTCTACGTCCTCCTCACTATCATTCTTTTCACTTTTTTCTTCAATTTTATAATAATGACGTAAGGGATTCTCCGATTTACCCTTCTTTGGCTTACCTCTCTTATCCAATTGAGCCGAAGAGGAACCAAACCTCTTGTCAACGAACATCCGGTCAAACCGTGAATCAATCGCAACTTTTGCTTTATGCTTAGGGACATTCTGAAAGCGAGGATCAAAATGCACGGACGAGAACCGAGGATCAGTGATAATTTTCTTATTGTCCCGATCATGGGATATGCTAGTTTTCTCGGAGGCTGAAGACTGAAGATTTCTCTCCTCTTTACTTTTGTTACCCTTGTTCTTTTTCTTAGAGTTACTCAAACTTTTGGAACCCATGACAACGGCCGGCCACTCGCCTCTGCGTATAGTCCTGGCAGGAAACGACTACCACTGCGTACAGTCCGGGCGGGAAACGACTACCACTACGTACAGTCCGGGAGGGGGACGACGACCACTCGCTGCGAACAGTCCGGGCGGAGGAACGACGGCTACTAGCGGAGAAGGCGGTGGAACGCTGCGCGATGGAACTAGGGCTTAAGGCGTCTAGGGGTTATATATGTACCTGATGTTTGAACGCGGGATAGTGTAACCCTGAGATGGATAATCATTAGATATTTACCAAAGCATCATTTCGGTTCAATAAAAGCCGGGTCGAATCCGGAATGCTAGAAGCCCATAACAATTTCATAGTTTTCAACCGACCTTGGCCCTTCATTCAAGCATATTTAAAAAATGAATATTTTAATTCAAAAAATTTAAAGAAATATTAATATAATTAAACTAATAAAATCTGAAAATTAAAAAAAAAAAAAAAAAAAAATCTATATATAAATTTCAAAGTTTTTAATCTGAAGTTATTTAAAAGAGCATATGTTCATATCTAAATCAATTTATGAAAGGATTGGTTATCTATGCTAGTCAACTATTGACCTTGGGCCGGGCTTGGATTAGACTTTGACGGCCTTTGGGCTTTAAGCCCAATCATAAGATTGAGACCCATTCAATGTCTTGAAGTGAATCAAACTCATTTATACGCTAAGTTATATCCCATCCATCATAAATCAACTGATATATCAAACCTTACTGGTGTTTGAATCTTTTTTCGGATTACACCCATTATCTCAAGTTTTAGATCGAATCCATTGATACAAATAGTTCATGGGAGAAAATTGAAATATTTGAGCTCAGGAGGATTGACCTAGTGAACTGTTAGTTTTCGGATACGAGATATTCATTCTAATCATTATGGACGCATTTTCCCTATGAAGGAATTAATGTTTGACTTATTGGATCAATAGCAATTCACGCAAGGATTGGTAATTGGTCATTGGGGATCTCTAAAAACTCCATTTTATGAAATTTTTTAGAAATAAAAAAAAGTGCGGATGTTTTATTACCAAGTCGAGATGCATACTATATGGTAGTGACAGGAAATTCTTTGGCACTAAATCCCGGTATTCAGGAAGAACAGACTGTTCCAACTCGATACCGTCAAGAATTCTTGACTATTGAATGGGAACAAGTTCATCTTCAAGAGGTGGACCCTATTGTTCAAGTTTTGAGATAAACGCCTAAGGAACATCTATTTACCCTGTACGAAAAAAAAATGAATTTCATTTTGTGAAAATTGTGTTAGTTGATCCTAAAATTTTTGTGTGTATAATTTACGTATAATTTATCTAACCCAACACTTTTACCCAAATCCCCCACTTAATTACACATAACCCCAATCATAAATATGTAAATCTGATAATATAAACATATATACACATAGATAAATGATACTTTACTTTCCCAAAAGAAATTGTTTAGAAGAGATGACAAAGTTCAAATAATTGCACAGAAAATGAGTAATTTTCTTCTATCATTAATAACCAGGCAGGTGCATGATTTGACAATAACTAATAATGCATTAAGCTTAAATAGCAAGCTATAAACAAACCAGAAAGCTCTATCTCAACAACCTATTTTCAAAGAGATTCCTTCCTAAGTTGAATCAACATATTTAATTTTAAATTAACATGCTATAATGCAAATAATTAACATGCTATAATGCAAATAATTCAAATCATGTCACGTAAAATACAAGAGTGAGTAAAATGTAATTGTCATCTTTTTACAAAACTTCCACTCTCAACTTTTGAAAAATATAGGATTAAAATAGTATTTGATTTTGACCGTTTCACTTTTTTTTTTTATCTTAAATGATCTATTAAGTTATTTAATTCATCTTCATCGTTTTATATAGTCTATTTGTCGTCTTTTTTACCTTTTATCATATTTGGGATGATAAGTCCCTTTCATGTCTTCACGTTAGGTCTATATTGACTTTAAGATTCCATACGAATATAAGTTTTTTTTCTTCCTAATTCTGTTTTAGGAGATATAAATTAAAGCTGCAGTAAACTAACGTGAAGTTATTAATGAGCTTCCCATTTGCCAATTCATGGCAATAATGTTCAATTTTTTTAATAATAAAACAAAGAAATAAAGATAACTAAATTATTCCACAAATAAAAATAAAATAATGATAGTAAAGTTTTATTCAATAACCGAAAATTTTAAATTTGTAAATATTACTTTTTGAAAATTGGGCTTTTTTCTTAATCAATTCTCTAAGATAAAATTCATTTTTTAAAAAAGAACATTTAAATTTTAAGTGAAATTTCAAAAGCAAAAATATAGTTTGAAAACTACTTTTCTTTCATTTTCAAATTTTGGCTTGATTTCTTAATACATATGTAAAGAGTAGATAATAAAATAAATAAACTCATGTAACTAAATTTTTCAAAACCAAATGAGCATAAAAGGAGCCTAAAAAATAGTTTTAAAAGCTTGTTTTTGTTTTTAAAAATTGTTAAGAATTCAAATGTTTTCTTAAAAAGATCCAAATGAAAAAACAAACATAATTTTAAAACACTAAACAAAAATCCAATCAAATGAAGCTCTCGAGATAATATCTATCAAATTCTTGCAATCAGACGTTAACATCATTTATTTACTTAAGGTTCGTTTTTACTTCATTTCTTCATAATGCACGACTATTTTAACACAACCTCCCAAGAATTGTAAGGCCATATTAAACTTTTTATAGCATAAAGTTCATTCAATCTTTGTTAAATAATAAAGTCACTGCAAGCTACCCTACAATAATTTAAATATGAGGTAAAGGGATACTATAACATACCTTTTACTTTATAAACGAAGAAAATCGCTCCTCCTGAATTGCCTATTGAAATTAAGAAAACTCATTAGCTTTGTTTTGTAAAAGAGTGGCAATCAATTAAAAAAAACAATTTCCAAAACCGTGTTTGTTAAAGTGCACCAAATTATTTGTGACCAACTATGATGCAAAAACTACAACAATGGGAGGGTAAAACCTTTTTGGGGTTTCAAGATCTTTTATCCAAAGCAAACATAATTATTACCAAAATTTTGCATGATTTTGTCCCGCGAGCAAGTCCAAAAGTTGAAGATTCACAGAGCAACAGCAGGCTAGTGTTGTGCATGTTGTTGGATTAACATTGCTTCAGAATCACTTCTCCATTATTTGCTTGCTTTGATGTTCAACTTCTGGGGCCGCTATCATGTTCACAGTGTTGTTTTGTAACTCTTCTATCATTTTTCATTTCCTATAAATAACATATAATCTTCACTTTAATATCCCAGACTGGCTTTGTTTAGTACAGAGAGAGAAAGAGAGAGTTGCATTTGTACCTATATTTGTAGGTCATGGCTTCCTTTGCTGTGGCATTCTCACACTTTGCATTCCTTTTGCTGTCTGTTGTGTCATTGGGGAGTTCGCTGAGCTTAGACTACTACGACAAGACGTGTCCCAGTGCCGACTTCATTGTTTCTAAAGCTGTCAGGAATGCAGCTTACAAAGATAAGACTGTCCCTGCTGCACTCCTCCGAATGCACTTTCATGACTGCTTTATAAGGGTAACCTTTAAAATTCTTGACATGTTTAATACTTCTCTAAGTTTGACAAAACTAACCTGGTTCTGTTTGCCTGGGTGAAGGGTTGTGATGCATCTGTATTGCTGAACTCAGTAGGGAACAACAAAGCAGAGAAAGATGGGCCCGCTAATTTATCTTTGCACTCATTTTTTGTGATCGACGACGCGAAGAAAGAACTTGAATCCTATTGCCCTGGTGTTGTCTCTTGTGCTGATATCTTGGCTATGGCGGCAAGGGATGCGGTTGTGCTGGTAAGAAAGCATATAGTTCAAATGATTTTTTTTTTCCTAGTAACAAAGATGGTTTGAAATTTAGAAGTCCAAAACATTTTCTTTCTAAAAGGATATAATTTTGTGTATGTCTGTCTTACAGTCTGGAGGTCCAACATGGGATGTTCCTAAAGGAAGAAAGGATGGAAGGGTATCAAAGGCAAGCGAAACAATACAATTGCCATCTCCAGCCTTCAACATTTCTCAGCTGCAACAAAGCTTCTCCCAAAGGGGACTATCCTTGGACGACCTAGTTGCTCTGTCAGGTAAACCACATACAAATACAAACTCAGGATGAAAATGGTATGACGAATGCATAAGCGTAAAATATCAGTACGACATAAGATTATTAAAGAAAGAATAAAGTCGTCCTATAAAAGATATAAGCATAAACATTGTCATATGATGCAGGAGCACACACCTTAGGATTTGCTCATTGCTCATCCTTTGAAGGTAGAATCCGCAACTTCAGTCCAGCCAGCAATGTTGACCCTGCAATGAATCCATCGTTTGCAGGAAGTCTAAGAAACATGTGCCCAGTAAACAACAAGGCAAAAAATGCGGGCGCTAACATGGATACTTCTCCAACCACATTCGACAACAATTACTATAGACTGATACTCCAAAAGAAGGGCCTGTTTTCTGCTGATCAAGCTCTGCTCAACTTTCCCAAGACCAAGAATCTTGTTAATGAGTTTGCTAGCTCAAAGGAAGCTTTTACCAGAGCATTTGTTAATTCCATGATCAAGATGAGTAGCATCACTGGAGGACAGGAGATCAGAAAGAATTGTAGGGCAGTGAACTAAAAGCTACTCCTGATAGCTCTGTGTGTTTTGTTTGCTAGACTAATAATCGTCTATTTAAGCAATGGGAGCTAAGTACCCATGGCTAGATTGTATTCAGTACTGTTAAAATCATATTACAAATGTTCTCTTATATATGATCACCAATGGAATGCCTATATTTCTGCCTTCATTTTTCACTTTACTCTCAGATGTCTCCAATTAGAGATGAAGTTACTTCTACGGTGATGTCTCCAGTACCTACATCCACTTTAAGATTCTCCAATTCGTACCCAACTGAACTTAATGGACAAGAAAATAATAGGAATCAGATCTAAGCTACTTCGTTAAAGCTCAAGCCACCTGGAAACACTGAAAAATTATGCAGGAAACTCCGGCAGCAAGAGAAGTAAAACCAGGAGAGGATGGTCAGCATGAATGTACCAAAGCAAATGTTCAAAGACAATGAGATTTTACCCTTTCAACCTATGACATTAATAAACTCTAGTCTGAGATAACTAAAAAAAGAGTATTAATTAAACAAAGATTTGGCAACAACAAAACAACAACAACAACCAAACCACTTGATGCAACTCCTCTCCTCCTCTCCCGGTAGATTTGTCGGCAGTTGAAGAACAGTAACGTGTGTTGGGTGAATTATGTGCCACAAAGTCTATAGACCCACGATTATGCAAAGGAATAACTGATAAGACAGTGGATTAAAAGGAAGAACCAAAAAAAAAGTGAGCTAATTGATGATTTGAGATTTACAATAGCTCCTAATAATGCATATAATTGAACTCTCAAAAACAGGTATTTCATTCAACACAAGTCCTAAATTAAAGTTTCAACCTGCACAAAATGCAGTAACGCACTAGTTTTCTCAACAGTTATCTCCAAAAATTTTAGGCATCTGCCACTGAACTTGAAATTACGAGAACGCCTAAAATAGACTGGGAATACATTCTCACTCACATCAAAGTGGACAAAGACCATGAACTTAACAAGTCCACCAAACACTTGTAAACCTCGTCATTTCACCAGAGAAGTTTCCTGTTAGAAGTAAAACAATTTTATAACTCAGGTTACCGAACTCCAAAAAAAATCATGTATTAATAAATGCATTTCCTTACCTTGACTGGATCACAATTGAGAACAATCTCGGCCAATTGAATATTGCCACTCAGATTTGATGCCTTGTGCGATGGCATGAGTGCAAAGCCGTCAACAAGCTTCTCACACTTCAACCCCCATTTGACCATCAAGAACTCAATCAGATGGTGCCCACTATACAATTTGAAGGACAATGAATTGGAAAAGGTGGAAAATAATGATAACAATGATAATAGTCATAATTATAACCATCATGATCATGGCACCACCAATTTCCCTTATTCCCCAAGATATAAGATAATACTATCAACTATCAAGTTACCTGCGATTGTGGTAGGTTGTTATAAAAACTGATCCCGGTGAACTTTGAAGAAGAAAGGCCACGGTTGAAAAGAGATCATCAAATGCTTCCCAACAAAAACAAAACTCAATTTCAGAACATTTTTTCCCCATAAACAAAGATGCAAAAGTAAAAGGAAATTGGATCCCAAATTGATCTTATGGTCCTACCACTGTTTTCGTACAATACATCGGCCCCAATAATGATTGTAGATCGTAAATTGAATATTGATGTGTCCCAAACACCCCATGTAAGTCCTATTACCTACACTTATTAGAAACTCCTCACTAAGCCAGATCCGTTAAGATGCAATCAGAGGAAAAAATAGCAAGAAAAATACTAGTAGTAATAGATTTACGTTACAGTTGAGCTTATTCAGGTCACAAACTCTCCTGATATTGTCCAGCACCTGCAAATTCAAGAGTCGGCCAGTGGAAGGAAAATATGAAGATAAAGCATCTAACTGCCCGTTAACGTAGTTATCTCAGTGAATTTGGTTCTAAACACAGTCTGCCTCATCCTTAGTGCGAGAAACTCCGTTAGCTTGACCTTTTTATGATTCATTTTTAAAAGCATTAATTTGAACCACCTCCCGCCCAAAAAGGAAAAAACAAAACAAAAATGAAGTTCATATATCTTGATTAATGGAAATATGATCAAGGAGGTGAAAATTTCTGCAGCCATTTTTTTTTTACAATTAATGCAAGAAGTGGAACTTAATTTATCAAGCAAAGTAACAAAGACGAAGTAATACCTCCACTCTGTTAGCATCGTCAGTCAAAGTAACATTAGCGCCTAATTTAGCTGCAACCAACCCAGGCAATGAAGTACCGGCACCGAGCTGCAACAACCAATTTGGAGGTCACAGAGTCACCCTAGACATTAAACTTCCCCGATTCAAAATAATCAAGCATATCACCCAAACTCTAACTCTACTGGTAATTTGCTTCTAGGATACCTCGTTGGAGACAGATTCAAAAGAAAAGGATAATACACAAGTACCTCAACGACGTTAGCACCAGAAAATCGTGTTTTCTGCTGCCAAATATATTCGGCAAGGATAATACTGCAAGGCCACACATAAAGCCCGTAATCCTCTTCCATATTCTGCAGTTTCGAGGCAATTACAAAAGGAGATTGTTAAAGTTTCTCTGTCTATCGATATTTTGAAGAAAAAAATGGAAGGAGAATATTGACACCTCGATGATGGAAATGGTGAAGACCGATTCGCCAGCATCGTCTTCGAAAACATGACGAGATATTGTAGTCGAAGAGGGAGCGGCCGAGTCGTCGGAGCTACCGTCTTCCATGTGGCTCGCCGGCGATTGCCGAAACAAATAGGACCTGCTTTCCACTGGCGGGAGCGCTAGGAAGTATTAACTACTGGTCCGTCTAGTCCAATAAAGATAAATTATTTTATTTAAATGAGTCTTCCTCTAAATAGTCTAATTTAGTCGTGTACATACTCTGAAATACAATTTTAATTCTTAAAAAAATTTCCTATTTCTTTTCTAGAAATAACTCCATTTCTTGGTATCAAAATAGATTAAGATAGAGAATCTATTCTCTTAAAAAAAAAAAATGGTCTTGGAGATTGTATAATGCTTACTCTAAAACTATTTGTTTATACAGTGTAATATTCTTTGTTTCTCTCTTCATTTTCGGATTCCTATCGGGATTCCTATCTAATGACCCGGGTGTAATCCGGGACGTGAAGAATAAACAAATGATTTTTTTCCTTGCTTGATTTTGAAATGTTCTAAAAAAGGATTCGAACCCTCGGTACAAAAAACTGTAACGTTTCCATTCTCAAAATTTATAATTTAGATTCAGTACCCTTATGGCTACATTCTCTTATATTTTCGTGATATAACCATGTTACCTATTTGTTACTTAATAAATCTTTTAATATGCTTTTTTTTTAGAAAAAAAAAATTATTGGTAAAAAAAAAACATGCTTAAATAATTTATATTGGTTTAGGAATAGAGTTTTCACTTTACTTTACTGTAGAAAATGGTTGAGACTGTTAAACAATTTTAACTCTTAGTCTGAATCATAGACATGAATCATTGAATCATTACGTTAGGGTAAATAATTTAAATTTTCAATTATTATTAAATATTTTTAAAAACTATACATTAACACATAATATATATGATTTTATAGATGTCATAATAAATTCTCACATCATATTCCATTTGAAGCGGGCGCAATATATATTATCATAGTAAATTTAATATTATAAATATTAAATAAGGGAGATTCTTTCTATTTTTAATAGACATAGCTTTTATTTATTTATTTTATAAGAAGGTATAGGATTCTCAAATGGTAATAGATGTCGGGCTTTGAGACTATCTGTAACATTAAAAGTTCACCGCTAGCAGATATTGTCCGTTTTGGCCCGTTACATATCGTCGTCAGCCTCATTAATTTAAAACGCGTTGTTAAGGAGAAATCTCCACACTAAGGAAGGTTTTACAACGATACTTTAACTCGTTCTATTTATTGATATGACATGACCTTTATTAATAACACGAAGGTATTCAAAAGTAGGACTTAAACATATGCATAGATCAATTGAACAACATTCTAGTCGATTGTTATTACTATTTTGCATATAATTTTACTCTTAAATTTTTTAAAATTAAAATTCTACTTTAGTTTTATAGAATAAAAAATTCATAAATTTAATAAGATAATTTGTTAATATTAAATTACATAGCTAATAATAAATTAGATATTAAAAAAGGTTGAGAATCAATTATTTACAAGGTTTTATCAAATTATAGAAACTATAAAATATAAAAATAAAACTAAATCCTCATTTCTTCTAAAAGGAAATTTCCATATGGGCCAGAGCCGTTTTATGGAAGCCCATACGGGCGTACGCGGGGAGGTGAGGATATTATGGTAATTTCATAGGTAACTATAAACTGACCCTCGGCAAAGGAATCCTTTTGATAGTTTGGAGTGAGAAGCAAACCTAAAGAATAGAAAGAGAGAGAAAACGTTTTAATTTCTTTGTTTTTTTTTCTTTAGAGGGAGAGACCGTTCTGCTTCTTAGACCTCTTCCCAGACCTACGTCTCTTTTTCTCTCTGCGATCTGATCGCTCAATCTTTTGAAAATCCTTCAGATTAATTTGTTCGATTCATATATTTTTTTTTTAAAATTCTTAGCAGTTGTTAGTTCTTCGAAAAATCAAAAACAAATTTATTTTGATCTTTTTGCTTAATTTTATTTTACTTTTTGCACTGTTTGCCGTCGATCAAGGTACTGCCATCTGAAAAAAACCCTAATTTTATAATTTATGATGGCTGCTTCTAATTTACCTGTCGCTGATTTGGCGGCGGCATCGAGTGTGAATCAGTCTCCTCGTAATTCTGGGCAGAATTACGGCAGCCGCAGCCCCAAATCATCATCACGTCGCTCTGGTGGACGCACAGTGTCTTCTTCTCCGTGGACCCAGATTGTTCGCGGTGAAATGGACATGGCGGCGGCTGTTTCGTCATCTGCATCTCCGACTACTGTTATTGAACCGATATCGTTTTCGTCTTCTTCTTCGTCTGAGGAGCCACTGAGTGAGAGTTTGGATGGCGGAAATGGGTCGTCCGCAAATGTTTCTGGAAAGAAGCCTGCGTGGAATAAGCTCTCTAATGGAACTG